TTACAGAGGCAATCATGTTAAAGGTTTTAAGCAGGAAGTATAAGCAGCACTTCCCTGAGATTTTGAGGAGAGCCTCAGAGCGCATGGAGCTGATCTTTGGCCTAGAGTTGAAGGAAGTTGACCCTGTCAGTCACTCCTATGCTCTTGTGAGCAAGCTAGGCCTCTCCAACGAGGGAAGCGTGAGTGGTGACAAGGGGCTACCCAAGACCGGTCTCCTGATGACGCTCCTGGGTGTGATTTTCATGAGGGGTAATCGTGCCACTGAGGAGGAGATGTGGGAATTCCTGAATATGTTGGGCTTATATGCTGGGAGGAGCCACTTAATATTTGGGGAACCCCACAAGTTCATCACCGAAGATTTAGTGCGGGAAAAGTACCTGGTGTACCAGCAGGTGCCCAACAGTGACCCTCCATGCCATGTGTTCCTGTGGGGTCCCCGGGCCTATGCTGAAACCAGTAAGATGAAAGTCCTGGAGGTTTTGGCTAAGATCAGTGACACAGTCCCTAGTTCCTTCCCTTATCTGTATGAAGAGGCTCTGAGAGAGGAGGCAGTGAGGGCAGGAGGGAGATTTGCAGGCAGGATTGGCACTGTGGTCCAGGTCAGGCCAGGTCCTAGGGCCATGTCCCACTGCTCTACCCACATCTAGTGAAGTTCAAGGTAGATTTTAACTTAGTGTTTGGAGAGAGCAGAGTGTTAAGGGTTGGTGGAATCTAAATTAAATATCTATCTTCATTCTTTTGCTATTATACATGAGTGATTTATAATGAGTTAAGTAATAACTGTTATTTTTCTAATATTTCTAATTTTTACTTATATTTGAACATTTATTTTGTTTTAGTCTGAATTTCTTAATGTCCTGAATTATATATTTATTACTGCTTGTCAAATTTAAGACTATCAGATTTTTTATTGTTAAATTGAAATGCTTTCTGTATTTGTTTTTAGTATAGAATATGGTAACATGATATTGGAGTAGAGATTTTTGGAAATGTGATAGAACTCCACAGGAAAAATGTTAGGATTTTGAAACTGTGAAACAAAATTAAAGTGTTTAATTCCTGTTTTGTACTGTTCTCTTTGCTTTTCGCTTGCAAAATAAAATATTACCTTGGATTTGCTGACCTTATTCAAACTGCTTGCAAATTTAAAAATCATAATAAATTAGATGTGTTCACCTTAACTGATTTGTTGTCATTATTTCCCAAGAATTAATTAAGCATCTGCTTTTTGACGGTTGCCTGATGGTACTGGGAGTGGTAAGGAAAAGAAATCTGTTCACTACCCATGCATTTTTATTGTCTAGCAACAGCTATCATATAAGGAAGATGGTGAGACACCATGTAAGATATAAAGGACAAGTGAAAAGGAGTGAGGTTGAGGAGATCTCAAATGAAAGCTGTCAAATATCCATTGTCTGATCATGTCAGTTTTGAGTATTAGGAAGCTGCAAGTCTTTGAGTGGGAATTAGTTTTAAGTGAGGCCACATGGTGGGCTGGATGAGGCTGTGGAATTTGTCAGCAGGGGCCAGACTCTCAGATGGTACATCTCAGATTTGAGAGCTAAGCATGGAATGGGAATGGGAAACAAGTCTTAACAGTTACCTTGTAATTGTGAGTACACTACTTGGTGTAAGAATGGAAGGGGTTCTGTGTGTCTGCCCCAGTACAGGTCAATATAATGCACAAACTAGACTTGGGGAATTGGGGGTGGGCATATGATTTCCAGAGAGTTTCTGAGAAACATAGGTGATAACACCTTGAAATGTGTTGCCAAGAAGTCACTGACTGTTACTGTTGTGGGCTGGGAGAGTAGTCTATTTCATTAAAAGAGCATTTTTAATTAGGTGACTTTGAGTGTGAAACTCTGAACAAAAGGTTTGATTCAAGGTGTGATTAAACAAGTGAACATAGGCATGGTTTGGATGGAAACATGCCTGCGAAGGAGGTTTTTTGTCTTTGACACAAAACAGGGATTGAAGTTACCTCCAGCTAAAGAAGACACCAGACAGTGGAACTAGGTAACACATGTTCCAATGGGGAAACACTACTTAGTTTTACTTGCTTAGAAAAGGGGCACATGCACATTCATGCATGCCCATGATGGGCCAGAGGAGTGGGGAAAAGGAATGGCAGCATGATGAGACCTTGTTGAAGGCCTGTGCTTCTCTTGCCTACTCTCTCTCTCAAATACACGCATGTACTCTCTATCACTAATACAATAAATTTTTTTAAAATAGCTTGCCATATTCTCAAGTTCACAAGGCTGCTAAGTGTCAGAGCTAGACTAGACTCTGAATCTGAATTCTGCTAGAGTTGAACACTGTTCCACTAGCAGCCTGGTAGACTTTGTGTCACTTACTCATTTTCTTCTCACTATTTCAAAATGTGTTTCAGGTGATAAAAGCAAGACTTGATACCCAAAATACTATTTTGGGATGCACAGCCCAAGGAATAATCAACACAATTACCGAAATAAATGTGAGTTGTGAATAAAGACAGACGGACATATTTGTTGACAATATTATCTATACAGGCAATGTCAGTAAACTCCAAAATATCAGGGGCTCACAGAATTTGACTTGTCCCCTTCTCTGTAGAAAGTGGACATATTAGAACAGAAGTTACATAAGAGGCTCAGTCTGGCAGATGAAGGGACAGTATAGATGAGCATGTTTTTCTCTAATAGCTTAATACCTGCCTGGGGCTCTTTGCTTGTATTTCAGCTTCCCCATCATATTATCACTACTGGGACCCATATTCTCTGCAAAATTTGTAGAGGTCAAACTAACCAAGAGTTTGGAGTAGTGTGGCATTACTGTGGAAGCCTCTCATAGAAAGTATGGGTACTAAGATGAAGACTCTGATGAATGAGAACTGAAGAAACAAACACTCCATAATAAATGTAGTCACAAGCCAGCCTGTGTCTGCTCTGATATCTAATAGAAGGCTGAAGTAGGGCTGTTATTGTTCAGGGTTGGCAAGGGCATTGGTTTACATGGATGACCTGAAGCTGAAAAAGGAGGGAACTTGGGTCTGTGTGGAGTCAAGGTGAGGACACTGAGTGAAGACGGGACATACCCCTACCCCAAACAGAGAGAATCCCAAGGAGCCTGGCTCTTAATGTCATCAAGGGCACCCTGACTTTGGCTTCTGGACATCAGGGAGTCAGAACATTGATCTGAGGGTCTGAGACTAGGACAGTAGAAGGTGGTGTCCCATTTTCTGCCAAGAATCGATGCTGAACCATGTATGGCAATGGAGGAGACCAGAGACCCCAGAAGTATGATAAGGCACAGAGCCTGCCTCTACCATCAACTCTGGGAGGCTTTAGGCAGGGCTGTTAGAGTGACTTCCACAAAAACTGCCTCAGGGATGTGACAACCTTGGTCTGAGGGAAGGATACATAAGTAAAAAAAGGAAAGAGTCCCAGGCTTGCCAGGAGTGAAGGTAAGGGTCTTAGGACCCCCTCCACCTTCAGAACTGAGAGGGTCAGACAGGGCCCGTTGACATCATGTGACATACATCACTTCCTCCTATGATGTCACAAAGGGCTGAGAGACTTGGTCTAAAGGTTGTAACCGAAGGCCAGTAGTGGGAGGATTTTCAGGTTTTTCCAGATGTCCTGGTAAGTACCCTGAGGGCTAAGTGAAACCACACATCCCATAACAGTGGGCTCCCCACAGAATCCATTTCTTATTGTCAGCTTTGGGAGACCAAGGATAGGTACTGTAAGATGAGAAGATCCTCAGATCCCCATGGAGGGGTAGTCTCAGGGTGATTTTGTCCTTTGTTTGAAGAGACCGGTCTCAGTGCAAGGAGGGAGGAGTTGCAGGCCATTCCAGAGGTCAAATCAAGTACTCAGAGGACCACCCACTACTTAACAGAAGGAATAACAAAGAATATGGCCCTGCCCAGGTTTTAAGCCTTAAAAACCAAGGGAAAGGCTATTAAACTGAAGCTCCTCTGATTATTTGTCAGGTCTATGGGAGGGAGATCCTTAGTCTAAAGGTACATCCCACTCAAACGAAGGTGTGGATGTACCAGGCCTTATGTGCTAACTCCAGGACTCTAAATAAGGATTGAGGACCCCAAAAGACCAGACAAGAGAATTCCCCACTGAGCAATCAGCACTGGGAACACCCAGACAGAAGTGATAAGTCAAAGACCACCCTATTTACCTCTTTCTTTTGGGTCTCCGGGAGGATTGTGATACCAACTTAAGAGCAGTAGAGGGAATGGTTCCCATAACCTACCACTAGTTGATATGATAGTCTTGAATGTGAAACAAGAGAACTTTTAAGTCAGAACACTGCTAGCCCCTTCTGTCACCCCAGTATACCTGAGGCTGGGCTGGCAGGCTGCAGCCTAAGGTTCATTCTAGCTTCCTACACAGGTTTCCCAAGTGGCAGGCTCATCAGGAGAACAGGAACTCAGCGGGTTCCTAGAGCAGTTGTCTCAAGGAAAACTGCGATTACAGCCTTCCTTTAAACCATAGTGGAAGTTTTGTGCTAAAAATGTACACACCCTATCAATGTCCCTCCTGCAGTGGGCTTTTATTACCTGTTCTCCTACTTGCAGTGCTGCTTGCTGTCCCTGAATACAGCCATCATGCCTCGAGGTCAGAAGAGTAAGCTCCGTAGCCGGGAGAAACGCCGCCATGCTCGAGATGATTCCCAGAGTCACAAGGAAACTCAGGCCAGTGTAATAGTGGAACAAGATCTCCCTTCATTTTCCTCTCCAGTTTGTGGGGATATTCCCCTGAGCTCATCTGCTGTAGGCTTAGATAGCACTTCCCAGGGACCTTGGAGAGTGCAACCCATGGATGATACTTCTGCAGACATTTCTGATAAAAGATCTGATGAAGGTGATAACAACCAAGATGAGGAAAATCTATGTTCCTTAGATATCTCATCCTCTCCTGAGAGCTTATACTATGATTCGATAGATAGGAAAGTGGATTTGTTGGAGCAGTTCATGCTCTACAAGTATAAAATGAAACAGCCCATTCTGAAGGCAGATATACTGAAGATAGTTAGTGAAAGGTACCAAGACCAGTTTGATCAAATCCTTAGGAAAGCTTCTGAACGCATTGAGGTTATCTTTGCAGTCAGTGTGAAGGAAATCGACTCAGCTAATCACTCGTATAACCTTGTCAGCAAACTGAAACTCCCCAACAATGGGAGGGTGCGTGCTGGCAGGGGGTTGCCCAAGACTGGTCTTCTAATGACTATCCTTGGTGTGATCTTCATTAAGGGCAACCGTGCCAGTGAGGAAGATATCTGGAAATTCTTGAATATGATGAGAGTGCATGCCGGAAGGAAGCACTTTATCTATGGAGAGCCCAGGAAGCTCATCACCCAAGATTTGGTGAGGCTAAAGTACCTGGTGTACCGACAGGTTCCCTACAGTTATCCTCCACTCTATGAATTCCTGTGGGGTCCAAAAGCCCATGCGGAAACTAGTAAGATGGAAGTTCTGGAATTTTTGGCTAAGGTCAGTGGTACTGTTCCCAGTGCCTTCTCAACACGATATGAAGAGGCTTTGCAAGATGAGGAAGAGAGAGCCCAAGCCAGAATTGCTGCTGAGCCTAGAATTACCACCATGGCCAACTCTAATTCATATCTCTGTTCAAATGCTCTTTCCACC